GGTCACGAAAGAATGGAGCGCACCCTCGAATAAGGCTTACTCTGGACCAGGCGATCGAGTAGAACAACAAACTACAACGCATATAAATATGAATTCTTCCACTTTCACGAACCTCGAATTCGAAGCTTCTTAACACTGTACAAAATGCTCTACACTGTACACACCCATGTTTCTCCAACCTCACATCATTTTACCCTCAACGCCCCCAAACCACTTTTATCGGGTTCTTCAGACGGTCCCATCACAACGAAACTGCATCTTGATGTGGTGTGATGGCTTGCGTGCCTTTATGACCCTTCGAGCTATACAGGATGGCTCCTCAGCCGCAGAACCAATCATGCCTGAAAGCTCCGTGGGTAGAGGCCAGACGAAGATCAGTCTCACAAGATCAGCTGCTTGGACATTTTTGACTATCCAATCTCACCCCTGGAGGTCACTCCAGCAAATAAACACGGTGAGGGGCAGATTACCGGTCGAAAAACCCCGCTAGATGGACGTAGGAGCGAGATACCTGGGGCTTCCTCTCGACAGTGGGAGAAGTCTTCGCACTTCATTGGACAGCTACCGTCCGCCCAAGCTGAGCAGCCGCCAGTCCATAAGGTGCTGTCCCGTCCACGTTCCGCTTATCTCATCGGGTGCATGAGACTAAGAGACAATCCCGAACAGTGGACCAATCAACCTAAAACGAAACCCGAAGGCCTTGCATGACAGGTCTCTAGAGGTTTCCACACGAGTGCTTCGACCACGCTCCATTGCTTTTCGGATAAGAACTTTCAGTCAAAGGCTCCGGTTAGGGTTCCCAAAGAAAAACTCCTTCGTTTGTGTGGGCTACCACAAAGTATGTCGTACCGTAAAGTCTTAGGCACCCATTTGGAAAAACCTCTTTCACATCTGTTCTTCTCATTCCCGAGCAATCTGAGAAGCCTCCTGCTTAAGCCATTCATCGGATATCACTCAAAGTTATATCAGTAACGCCAAACAATCAGAAGTTATAGGATTTTCGAAGCCCAAATTCCTTTTACACTTAGCCGCTTTCGAAGTCCACATACTCTGTCAGATCGGCCACTAGGCGGCCTTAACCATAACCTTTGAAACTTCCAATTCGGACGTAAATTGTGTCCCCGGAACACGTATACAAGACCCTATTTCAATCATCTTCCTGCGTTCTCCTGACCCAACTTTATCCTTACGCTTCACCCTTCGTGTGTCAGGTGATTCGGTATCCGATACTCGCGATGTTGCTGGTGTTGGGATTGCGCCAAGTGCCAAGGCTGTGCGCTCGCTTTTTGGCTAGATCTCGGTTATTAGCCGACTTTGTGCTGTACTTCTCAACAGTTCAGAAAGGTGCAAAAGGTAAAGAACGCAGCGTCGTTGCTTATTCGTCGTGTCCGTGTATGCACCGGCCGACTGCAATGCACCGGAAATGAAGGACCTTTCCCAACTGCTCCAAAACGTTTGCATAACGGACATTGTAACAGTTGCTGGAGACTTCAGTACTCTCTCTTTCTCTTTGATCTCTTTGCACGTGCCGGGCAAG